AGTCACTGCCAGCACTCTCTCCCTCGCTCAGTGACAAGCTACAAATCCCTGACACCCCCACTGATGATAGCTTTACAGTAGAGCCTCAAGGGGACTCTGCCAGCCAGCACACACAAACAACACACACTTGCCTATTTCTCTGTCTGTCTCTCTCTCTCTCTCTCTCTCTCCCTCTCCCAGGAGCCCCAGGGGCCTCTGGGATACGCGTCTCCCAACACAAAATGCCTAGGGTTTGTTTGAGTTAAACATCTGACGATCAAAGGGTGCAAAGGAAACACCAATGATGCACGTCCGTTACTGAGCAGATCCTGGTTTCAATTGTGGAAGACAGAACTATGATGTGTCATGATACACAATGTTTTAAAGAAAAGCGAGATACCAATCAAGTACTTAAACAGCAATCACATTTGTATTGCCATCAGTTATTGTAATTTTTTTCTCCAGATCGGATTTATTGAGACAAGTCATGTTGTCATTCCCTCCCTATCTCTTATTTCTCTGTTAGATGAAGATTTAATTTGTAATTATTCAGCAGCCCTGTGGATGTTTGCTCTGGTGTTAACCGGCCACTACTGTGACCACATTGCTCTATTATTTCTCATTACAATATTCATTACTTTTTTTTCCATTTTGGATAATTTTATTGTACTAATAATGCTCTTCATGAGGGGAAGTTTGTATGCAATGTGTGTGTGTGTGTGTGTGTGTGTGTGTGTGTGTGTGTGTGTGTGTGTGTGTGTGTGTGTGTGTGTGTGTAATAATTCCAGTGCCTTGGATTTATTGCCATATACCAATTTGGCTTTAATGAGATCACACACCTCCAGGTAGGTGCAGCTCCATCCCCAGCCTCGGCTCGGGCTTCTGCCTCCGTCTCTCCGTCTGCATGCCCTTATTACCATTTCATACACCCCCCCTCCACCTCCACTGCTACCCCCATCTGATGAAAAACCAGAAAGGCTTTGTGTGGTTCATTAAGTCAGCATAGGAAATGTATTAAGTAGAAGAAGGCTGGGAGCTATTGAGTGTTGACTTAACCTTTCCAGTTTTTCCCCTTTCTTGTTCCACCCAGTGATGATTCTAATAGAGGATGCGTGCATTACTCAGTGTCATTAGTAACCGCACGGACCCGTTAGAACAAGATATAACGGTGGTTTGGATTTGCTTATTCTTAAAAAACGTGAGTGAATGTACTATACGGGTGAATGCATCTGTCTGCTACTCGTTAGATGTTTGTTTACATGACCAGTCGTGGGTCAAATTGTACGACTTTGTTGCAGCTTCTTTCAAGTAGAGGTACGGCCACTTTTTATACCAAAAGAATGCAGGACGCTAAACATTAGAAATACATGTGAATTCACTTCTTGTACAACAATTCTAATGCTTTTTGGATTTGTTGAACTTTTTGGAACTTTTAGTACTCCAAAGAAGATTATATATTATATTTCCACAGGAAAAATGTTATATAAATGATACAGGATTCAAACCCAGGGTGGTCTGGGATAGGGGCCTGAACTATGATAGGGCCCGACAACCAGTGGTAGAAAAAGTATTCAGAGAGTAGTAAAAGTCCTGCATTCAAAATCATACTTTAGTGAAAGTGCAAAAGTATTATTAGCTAAATCTACATATAATATAAAAAGTGTATATAATTATATTTATATATGTGACACTTCTAGATAATATTGTTGCATCAAGTAGCATTTTGCTGTTTTAAAAACAAACAAAGTTCAGATTGCCTTTTGTGAAATATTTAAATAAGTTGACTCTTTTGTGACTGTTAAAAGTAGCTAAAGCTGTTCAATAAATGAAGTGGAGTAAAGTTATATCATCTCCCTTTTAAATGTAGTGGAGTAGAAGTATACATTAGCATTCAATTAAAATACTAAAGTAAAGTACAAGTACCTCAAAAGTGTACTTAAGTAAAGTACCTCTGTTGATAACTGGAGGGTGGCTGCTACTGTACACCTTAATGAAGCTGCTATCTTTTAAAGCACCGTGCTCCTGTTGGGAGAGTAGCGCTCTACAGTATAGTACAGGACTTTGCCAAAAAAATAATAATGAAAAACAGAAAGAGGAATCACTAATTGGCTTTGTCAGCAAGTTTGTTGCTAAAAAACAAAAAACCTTGTAACAATGTGAGTACTAAGTAATCTGGACAAAACACTGTAAATGAAATGTCTCATCGTGGGGTTGTCACATATTTTAAAAGGAAGGGCACTGTGGTCAGTCTGCCATTACAATTAGTGTTCATTTTGGCCTGATTCAGTGAGATCTACGCTGACTGCTGGGCATGCATTATGCATGAGTCTGTCCGTATGCACTTGGGCCATCATGCATGCCCTTGTAGAAAAGCATCGACCACCGGCATGCAATTACATTTAGCTTGTTTCAACCTTCTCTGTGTGCACATTATCCTATAGAATAACACTTCAGGCATGAAAGTGTGCATTCCCCTTAGATAATAAGTCCTGATATCCATCAGTAGCGTTAAATGGAAAGTTAAGACCACTTATTGTTGCAAATGTGTTATTCTGATTTGAACTCTTGCCACTGTACATGTAAAACCATGTCTCCATAATTGTGTGATTCAGATTTTTCAGATAAACTGAAGGATTAAGAGCAGGGGCTGAAAAAAAGATCCTACTTTAAACTCAATAAAAAAAAAAAAATCACATTGGATTATCTAAAAATGGCATTGTCACAAAGACAAAACAGCGTTGTTTTTCTGATCTTGTGAAAAGTAGATTGTTTTGCCAGTTTAGATATTAGGAACACAGTAAAGCCAAACACATTAAAGTGCCTTTTTGCGCTTTGTCCTCAGAATATTTAAATGTATGCCAAAATAATAAAAATGAAAATAGTTATATAATAATCAAGCTGGCTCGCCTCTTTTAGTTGTAGATTTATTTGATTATTAGCCATTTGCACTGTCCCCTGTTTTGAGTGAGTTTTGGGAACTTAAAAATATGTTATTGCAGCATAAGCCTGGTTCTTTATTAGAATATTGGCAAGTGAGAATACTGGAATTGAACGTTGAAAGAATCAACAAGTTGATGAAAAAAACGTTTTTAATACATTTCAGAAAAATAGTTTTCAAAGATAATTCTTACACATAGTTTTTATACAGTTGGTAACATGGGGAATACTTGTATGTTTTGGGGACCAAGCAACAAGTTCCCTGCTGTAACTTAGTTGCCTGTCAGAATAAGCACTTGTCATAAACAGTGCTGTGGTGTGTGTGCGCGCGCGTGTGTGTGTCTGTCTGAGAGAGAGTTGCTGTTGAACAAGTGTGTATTGCCCGGGCACTTTCCAAAACCTGGACTCTGACCACTGTGTCCACTTTATCTCGGAGGAAAATCTCTTCACGGGAGATCTCCAACTCCTTCACGCGGCTCTTTAGCGCCCCTCTGAGAGGAAGCCCATAATAGCAGAAGCGTCTCCAAGGGATGAAACGCCATACATCAGGTCGGCAGGGCACCGGGAAATGTGGCACAAGGTATCAGTCGTGACAACAGGAACCTTACACAGCCTTAGATAATCAGAAACAGGCAGATCGTATGACTGAGGAGGACTGATCATGACTGTCATTGTCAATACAAATATAGTGTGTATGGGCAATACGACACCCCCACCCCTTCCCTGTCGAAGCTCAACATCGAACGGGGAGGGGGCACAGCTTGTTTATGTTTATGGAAGAGAGGGAGAAAACTGGTGATGGTTGAGCTGCTGATCTAATAAGGCTTAAAATGATTTCTCGTTTCATTCACTGTGAGGCAGCATCATTCCTTACCCATCTTTCAAGTGAGCATCATTCAATTAAAATGCAATTCTCGTCGCCCCCTTCCACAGATATTTAATTAGACTGGAGAGCAGGGCTTCCACTGTCTTTTCTTTCCCCAGCATAGCTCTTCGGATTTCACCTCTAAGGCATATTTTCACTTTGTTACTCGTTGGTTAAACAAGGGCATGTATCCATTTGTTAATTGATACAATTACGCATTACGCGTAATGGTCACGTAGGTCTCCAGGCGCGCATCAATCACTGGTCTATTGACCTGCCAAAAACCCTTCTAACCGTTCCTGCTGGGACTGCCCCTCTCTAATAGAGAAAGATAGAAACATAATCGTCATTAACTCCGGGATGGACCTCTGGCCAGAGAGCGAGAGGCGAACATAGGTCGAGAAAAAGAAAACAAGTCTTAAATGTGCTTCTTCAACCAGTTGTATTGGGGTAGATTGAAAATAAATATAATAGAAAATATTTGAAATCACAATATTTTTTTGTTTAAATGCTTAATTGATTCCTGTTTGCATGGGCAAAACATTTCTGGTGCTGAACAAAATCGTAATATCTCACAAGAATGCCAAAAAATTAAAATGTCAAAGTCTCTTTTTCTAATTCATTTATCTTTACAAGGGGTTTCCTCATGTAACCCTTTTAAAATTCAATAACGTTGAACATAATGCAGCTTTCCGGGACGTTATCTCAGCAAATCGGTGAACAATTCCATTACAAAAGGGGAACAGGCTGTGTACAGTGCACCTTAAGAAAATCCTGCGTTGGATGTGATTGGCAAAGACATTATTCTATCCTTGGTACCCTGCCGTTCCGGGATTACAGTGACGTCACGCTGATACCCTTGCATGGATGAATGCTAAAGAACTATAGAGCCACAAATAATAGCACAAGCAGAGTCCATATCTTGCAAGTCTTACGTTATCCTTTAAGCCTCCTTCAGCTAACACAACAACAATTTTTTTGTTGCACTTAATGACGCTTAATTTAATTTCTTATCGGGTCCTTTGGGGGGATTATTCATTCATATAAAACAATCTGCAGCTGGTGCCATCCTAAAGTCTCCCTCCTATGAGTGAAGTCATCTATTATTGAGCGAAAGGCCGTGCGTGGAAATGTGTGTAAGACGGTGGATTTGAAGTAGGAATTGGTTGCAATCGATCAAGGGTGAAGATTATTGCTGATGGTAACAAAAGAAGCAGCTATGTCTTTCTCGCAATTTGGATATCCTTACAATGCAACTTCACAGGTAAGCCTCTTTGCTTTTTATTTCTCCTAAGTGTTGTATATATACACACACAGTATTGGCTTTTTTTCTGTGCGTATTTTCTTGTATTTTACTATAGTCAGAGCACCTTTTTCTCTGTAGGAAATAATAATGACTGAGTGGCTGCTTTGACAGATATTTTCGTGTGGTGCTTTTGTTGTGGAACCAAATATCGATAGACACGCACCCGTGTCCAATTACACTGAATTATGAATGAACTCACGTGTTTTTCTGATGACAATAGAGATGAATGTCACCTATTGCTCACTACGAGGAGTAATTGGGCAACACACATTCGCAAACTTTCTATTTGTATGGGAAGCGTGGGATGTTAAACACCGTGCATTATCTGGGGAGCTTTTAAAACTCAATTAGAGTGATTCATTTAGATTTTAAGACACTATGAGTGCGCCAAATGACAAGTTGGAAGAAGTTCAACACGATCAGAGGACACAAGTTACTCTCAGCAAAAAAGTTGTCACCAAACTTTTATAGATAATATTTTTTATTTCCAGTACAATGTATATATATATTCAAAAATGTAAAAAAAATGTATGTACCTATAGTTTACTTGTAAAGGGCTATCAGCTCAGATTGTTATCTTATTTTGATCCAATGATAAACCACAGCACTTTCACTTTTACGCACAGATTGCGCACATCTTAATATCCATTTATGTGTACATGAAACATAACAATTAGATGGTATCCCTTATTGCACGTGCTCACAATGTAAACTACTTTCTCTCATCACATCATTCTCTAAAAAGTGACTTACCTTGAATGAAGGCAGGTTAAAAGTCAAGATAAGGACACGTGATCAGGATAATTGAACTTAAAGCACAATTTAACTCTTTTTTAAAATTCAAATGCTCAATTCTAAACTAACCGAGCAACTTGAATATAGATAAACAGATATCGTTATGCAGTGCATCACCCACAGTCACTTAAGAGTTGTCACAGGCATCCAGATAAGAGCAGAAACAGCCAATGACCATGTCTATCCACGATTCTCTTCATGCAGTTTTTCGTGTCGGCAAACCCCAGTACGACTTGCTGCGATTCGATTTCCAGGTCGGTCTCTGACGGGACAGCCGGCTCCCAGACTGCCGCCACCGCCGCCTCCTTCTGCTGCCCGTCCTACGAGAACCGGATCCTGGCGAGCAGCCGGACGGAGCTCAACGCGGCGCTGGGGATGTACAGCTCTCCATACGCCGCAGCGGCTGCCGCCACCCAGAACTACGCCAACTACTTCCCCTACAGCACCGACCCATCCGCTATCTACTCCACTCTGGTGGGCTCACTTCTGATGCGTAAAGGGGGGAGGGTGGCTCAGGCTGATCGATCAACCGGGTTTTGTTCATCAATGTTCTTCCACAAACGTATCCGTCTTGACATGCCGTTTAATCCGGTGGTCTTATCTTCTTCCCCTTAAAAGCGAGTCTAAAATCCTGTCACTCAGGTGAGGGGAGGAATTGTAGAAGCAATGGAGAGTAAAGTTGTATTACTGCAATCAAATGTCATTTTGTTATGATAAATATAAATCTACTATTTTTTCCTTGGCTCAGGTGGTTTTGGAAAATCAGCATTTAAAAATTATAAAATACATAACCCCTAGTTAACAATTGTTTAATTTGATTAAGTGAGATTTTAGAGTGGATAAAGGACTGTGACTTGTTGATTTATATTTTGCAGTGTAGCTGTAACTTTACTTTTATTCTCTCTTATTCTAACACCTGGAGTTAGCGAGAAATGTGCTGGCCATTCAAATGTTGCAAATTGTACCTGAAAGAAGTGAAAAAAAACATATAATTAAAAATGTTATATAAATATACATTCTAAGATCATTATTGCATATTTTGCTTCAAATTTACTTTAAAAACAAACACATTTACGTCATGTAAAGCAATTTGTTTCATCTTGGATAGCCTAATATTTGATTTAAGAGCTTACAAATAACAAATGTCTTTATAATTTAATGCTGAGAAATAACGAATGTTCCATTTCTATAACAACCTTTTTGTCTTTTACAGAATCCACAGTATGACATTAAGGACAACTCAGGCACTTTACACTCTGGCATCTCTCAAACTGCCGCTTACTATCCTTACGACCACTCACTGGGACAGTATCAATACGACAGGTACATTCTATGTTCATGTGTGTCCACTTTATGAAATATAAGTGTAGCTGACATGCCAAAAAAGTATTCTAGCTCTGATTATTACAATCAGCCTTTCACAGGGGATATATGCTGCATTCAGATCAAAGGTCAGAGTGTAACTCAACACAGTTACCTGCATGCAGCGAAGCAGTATATATTTCAAACAGCAGGGAGTTGGATATAGGATTCCTGAGTGAATAGCCTTCACTTCCTCCACTAATGGCCACTTTCTGTGTTTTTCTGTGTCCTTTTTTCCAGATACGGGACAGTAGACTTTAATGGCTCAGCCAGAAGAAAGAACGCAACTCGTGAAACTACCAGCACCCTAAAAACATGGTTGTACGAGCACCGGAAGAACCCCTACCCCACTAAAGGAGAGAAGATCATGCTGGCCATCATCACCAAAATGACCCTCACACAAGTGTCCACCTGGTTCGCCAACGCCAGGAGGAGGCTAAAGAAGGAGAACAAGATGACCTGGTCACCAAAGAATAAGGCCAACGATGACAGGAAGGATGACTTTAACAAGAGCGAAGACTGTCTCACCAAAGGTAATTTGGGATCAAGTTTTGATTTCATTATTGGTAAACTAAAGCACTTGCACTATGTAAAGTGAAATACAGCTGCCAAATGTGGACAGAAAAAGTAATAAAAGAAGAAAGAAAAAAGTTTATTTAAACATTTTATGAACAAACTATGTCTTTAAGAGTTTACCCAAACTTTTCAAATAATGTTCATTAACATCTATTTTCGTCCATGCAGACTCCAGTGATTGCAAGGAGGAGAAGGATCTGCGTCTGAGTGACCTGGAGGACATGGACGACGATGACTGTGAAAAGCTGGACAGCGACTGTGAAAAGGGGGCTGCAGACGAGCAGGACCTCCAGAGGGTCATGGCGCTATCCGGACCCCCCCAAAAGAGAGACTGCAACTCCGAGCTCCACCTGAGTTTAACTAACAGCTTCCACGCGTTCCCCTGCGCCATAAAAGGTGTTACCAGCCTCCCCCCTCTTCCGTCTGACTTCCTGGATCCTGTCGGGTCCAAGGCACCTTCCTCAACGGGGGGAACGTTGTCCCTGTCTCACTTTGAAGCATCAGATAAGCCTCGGATTTGGTCTCTGGCTCGTACGGCGGCTTCGGGGGTCATTCTGAGCCCCCAGCAGCACGGCTCGGAGCTGAGGACAGGCAACACAACCGGGGACTGCCAGCTCCAGAGCCCCAGGCTTACCGGCACTCTAACTGGACAGTGTGGGGGTATGAGAGGCCTCCATGAATCTGGCGGTGTCACCAATACTGAGAGCCCCTTCGCTGAGGGCTTATCCTTGCACTCTAAAGTCTATGGCACTGGCAGCTACAGTCACAAGGACCTCCAACTGCACTGTTCATCCTACTCTGCACTCCCAGACACATGTCAGTACTCCACTATTGAAGGTATGTCATCTCAAATCTACAATACCACATTAAAAGGGAGCAAATTCTTTCATATTTAGATGTTTTCTGTGAAGTAGGCAGCAATTCAAGAGCATGTCACCAAATGTGTGTTGCTGGATGAAAGCACATTTAAGGTTAGCAAGTGAGGGGACATATTCCGTCAACTTGCACCTAAGGAGAGTTTCTTACATGTGGATATGCTTTTATTTGGGTGTGTAGGGTTCTCTGGTGGCAAAGCAGAGACACAGTCGTCTGACCTCAGTGAAGCCTGCGGGACCGTGCAGGATGACAAGGTCACTGCGTTCAGACCAGTGATGAAGAGGTGAAGCAGGTGAGAGTCTGCACTGAACTGGAAGAAACCAGATAGCACACACACAAACACACACACACGAAAATGTGTGAAAAAAAACAACTGCATTAAACACTCACATGTAAACAAGGACAACTGGATACTCACTTTTCTTGCTAAAATGTAATTGAATTCTATCAAAATATAATGATTGCAAGGTTAAAGTGAGTTTTCCTAATATACCTGATGTCAAAAGTGAAAGAGGAAAAATATAACAATTTCTTCTGCAATCAACTTGAAATTAAATACCTTATAATTAAGCCTATATATTGATTTTTGGAGCTTATTTGTCTAATTTCTGCTGTATTTTTTTCACCTAGATTCCTGGATACTGTACCACAATAAATAATTGGACATTAATGATATATGCACTAAAGGACACACTGGCCGAGTGGTGGCCTCAATAAGACACATGGGAGCTACCTGCTGCTGCTGCTGCAGTCAAACTGTGGACGTGGCTATCATTTTGCACAACTTTGTTTTTATCGTGTAAAAGACTTTATGCAAAAAAAATCTAGATGCAAAGGTGGGAATGGCCGAATAACAAAAACGGCCGAATTTGTGTATGGCAATCTTGTAGTGTAGCAAACCTATTTATTTATCTGTGTATTTATTATTTTGTAATGTTGTCTGTTTATTATATGGCGTGTTTATCGGTTGAATTTGTACCCTCTTTGAGTATTCGTTACATGTTGCGTTTTAATGTGGCTTCGTGTCATTTTGCCTGTTGTAAAAGAGACGGATTTTAGAGATGACCATATAAGGACCGGATCCCCTGTGTTGCGCGTGGACCTGGAGGATGTTTGTCATTGTGTTAACAAAATGTGAGCTTCTTCTGTGTTTGCCTATCATGGCATTTCTTTTCTAAGAATACATTTTTTTCCAAGAGCTTTCCTTGTCTGTGTCATGGTTATTTAGAGAGCCAATTAAAGGAGTTGCGGAAGTGCATTTGATCAAAGTTTAACATCTTGACTCGCGTGCAGATCCGCAGCGCCGAGGGAAGGTCATAATTCAGAGGAGGACGTGAGTGAAATCCACAAGTTGCGGAAGAAAGGGGGACATCATCCCTCCATTGTCAACATCTAATCAGTAGTGGCATCGAACACTTTGTTACTGTTCAGGCCGGGCACTGAGGCAGGAACATAGGATGAATGCTGCTTTGTCCCCTGTGTAGCGAGCCGCTGCACTAACTTAACATTGTGTTAATTAAAAGGTCATTTGTAGGATCAAACCCGGCACAGAAATTCACATGGTCCATCAAAGTCCCTTTGATTTGACTGTTTTGAGTATAGTCCATCTCGTTATGGTGTATAACGTTGTGTTATTATAACTAATTGCGGTAAGGATATTGATTTTGACGCACAATATTGCGCAAAAAATACAGCAAAAATCTAGTTTGACAAGCCTTGAAATGTATTAGGCTACTTTAAAAAGCAAATGATGTAAAATACCGAGGAGTTGTGAACAACTTCTGAGCAAAGGAGGAAGGTGTTCCTTACATATTTTAATTTTTTTAAATCTTATTTTTGAATCAATAATTTCCCTGACCTTTCTGTTCCCTTTCTGACTTGATCTCCCGTTGTTATTCCTCAAACTAGAGCGTCATTATGACATCATGGCAAATATTTATATTGTATAGGTCTACATTTGATTTCAGACCTCCACAGAAACATTACCTGTAAATAGTCCACAGCCTGGCATAAAAGAAAAACGTCATTTGGGGCCATTCTTCACTTGTGGGATTATCCTTGTAATAAAAGTATTTTCGGTATTAGGGCAATTCAGGCTTTATTCAGAGGCGCTGTGGTCAGCTTGTGTGTCCTTGGGTTGGCCGTAGGTACTGCAGGGAGCTTGGTAAATCCTGCAGAATCTACATGGTGAGGATGAGGAAGGTCAGGAATAATATTTTAGGCTTACTTAGATTTTTTTCCAGTTTAATTTTGTCTATCTGTGCTAATCTGAAACCTAATAAATATGAGGGCTAAACAAATATATACTTTATATTAATATTGCCTAGGCCTACTTTCTAAGGTCTGAATCTCACTGATTCATTATATCCTGTCATGAGCAAGAGGACACATTAAAACAATTGGCATCCTTTACAGTTGATTAAATGTTTTACTAAATGACTGAAAAACATAAAGATAAGAACAGAATTTTAAAGGAAACCGGTGCAGTCCACCTGATGTGAGGCAGAATGACAGCTCTTGGTGAGTCAGGCAGTTCTGTAACAGTCCATCTGTTAATGACAAGCTGCTAACAGGGGGCCTCTCTCCTCTCTCCCCCCCCCCCCCCTCCTCATCAACACTAATCAGTCATGACGCCTGATGAGATGCTCTTTACGTTAAAATGTAGGCTAGGTGTGTATCAAATATTTACAACCAAATTTAATTAAATCGTGGGCTGTAAAGAAACGCTGCCTTTTGCTATTGGAGGTAATGATGCATGCGCAATGGGATTACCACCATGGCAAAGTACCTGGGGGAAAGCATAGATAATGGCCACGATGGGCTCATATAGCAGCGTATGCCTGACGCAGCTAACAGGTCAATTAGTCGGTCCTATACAGTGTTTTACATATGGCTGAAGGAGCTGCGCAGTCAAGAGACAGGAAGCTGTGAGTGGAGGCTGCCTGGATGCAATGGGTCAGAAAGCACCTCTATCATATTGTGAGAAAAACAACATTAAATGAAATAACCTAAAGTGAAAGTGAGGAAAAGTGAATTGTGGTGGGGTTTTAGATGGAAATATGAAAAGGGGGAGAGGAAAAACACAAGACATCCTTAATCTGACATCTTTAATCTGAGGCGAGACTTGAAATCTGTGGCAAACTGCAATGATAAAGGATAATCATTTCCTTAGGTAGCCTATATGCACAACTGGTAAATTACATTTTTCACCNAGTAGCCAACAATCTGTGAGTCTGTTGGCTCGGACATAAACTTGTGTTTAAAATAATACTACATAATAAATGTAGTCTACATTTCATAATAAGAGGTGTAAAACCTGAGAGGATTTGAAATCGCATTTGAACTAATACACCTCTTATTATGAAATGTAGACTACATTTATTATGTAGTATTATTTTAAACACAAGTTTATGTCCGAGCCAACAGACTCACAGATTGTTGGCTACTGAGAGATATGCAAAATACACCGCATGTAGTACGACACAAACCTCCGCTGTGGATTTTCAAAACAAAATACAATAAAACTATGGTCGCAGGCCCAAGTTTAACTCTCTGAGGCCTGCATGGTCTGTCTACAAAACAAAAATAAAAAAACGGTTATGCAGCCCCAACAGCAGCCTCTGATCATCAACAGACTTCATGCAATGCTTCATCAGATGCATATATTAGATAATAATCTCTACCTCACTCCTAACACCAACTGAAGAAATTTAAACTCGCTCCATTGCGGAGATATTCCCGCGAGAGTGCGGAAAACTGAAATTAATTCACTAGCGCCCCCCCCCC